TATAAGTGGCGTGCTTATCTCGTACCAACGAAGACTGACGCCTGCACATCACAACCTTTCAAAGCTACCGCGTTGCATTCGTTTCTGAAATGCCCCAAGCATGCAGTGATAAAGTAGTCGGGACTCATGAAAGCGCACTGGCTGGCCTATTTACCTGAGTTTGAACGTTAATGGCTATGACGAACGGCGACACTGCTTCCGGCAACCAGTATTGGTTTTATTCATTGATCTGAAAGCTGCCTTTGACTCTGTGGACAGTCGCGCACTGTGGCAGTGTCTGTGGAGTAAGAATGTCGACCGTAAATTCTAGACCCTCCTTAAGGCGCTGTGCGCCAACTCTCGCGGCCGTGTGGAGGTCTACGGGAGGCTGTCGCCTGAGTTCACCACATCAAGTGGTGTAGACGGGGCTGTCCTACTTAACCTGTCCTCTTCAACTTCGTCATCAATACGATTATGGAAGACTCGCGTCAGCTTCTAAAGCCTTTGGGGTTGAAGTGCTACCAGGGTGTCCGCGCGGAAGGTCCGTGGTTCGAACCCGACCTCTGTCTCTCGGCTTCCCCTGTCCAGGTTGGGCATCATCCCAGCCTTTGTGCAACCTTCGAGTGGCATGGCAGTTAGGCACCGAAACGGTGCTACAGCTGAAAGGGGCATCCGCTTACAGATATCGAGTACGCGGACGACATAACTCTTCTTGGATCTGAAGCCGTGGTAATGCAAACAATATTAAGTAATCTAGCTAATTCTGCCTCACCGTTTGACACGCGCTTCACACCGTCAGTGTGAAGTGGTACTGCAAGGCTGAGTGGGCTCGGAACCTAGCCTCATGCTTGCGGACGAGCCCATTGAGGTAGTAGACAAATTTGTTTACCTGGGCAGCTGCATCAGTCCCGGTGGTCTCGCGTGAGATGATATTTCCCTCCGGATCGGGAAGGTTAGAGCAGATTTTGTGAACCTGCATCACCTGTGGAGTAGGCGAGAAATCCGTCTCCCCGAATGGGGACTTCGAGATGTGACACATTAAGGGTTAGATACATTGTCAGACATGGCCCAGTCGCGTCCTCAATGGCGCTCATATATCTAAGCTTCAATCAAGCCTTCATTGCATAGCTCTATTTTCAATCTCACTGCTTAAAGGTCTCCTGACAACTGTGTATTTACGCATCAGTTATGTCAGCTCATACCTCCAATGGGTAGATACTTATCCCACCCCCCAAACCCTTGATGAACGAAACTGTGGTAGCGGTTCTTAACAGTGATAATGATGATGATGACCTCAATGTGGACGATCGGAAATTCACTTAACTTTCTATTAACTGACTAATTTGACTACTGCAGGAAACATACGACTACCAGTAGATCTCAGTGGGTTGCTACGGAAAAGAAAAGCACCGCTCTGCGATCAAGTTTCTTCACGACCAACCGAACCGCCTAGCTCGACAAACAAATCAGCTGTCAGTATGACCTGACCAAATAACGAACGGAACGACCATGCGTGTCTCACTAACACGGTCTCCTCAAGAGGCCTACTCAATATTGAGTGCATCACACGCTAAGTAGAAGCGGTAATTGGGTCATTCGGTTGAGAAGCAGTTAAGTGAAAAGCTCTATAGGGTTGCCTGCCACGTGCAGACAGAATCACGTAAGACTTGAATATCCCATGGCGATTAGTATGAGCAGGTAGTGTCGACACCTGTAAACCCGGTTTATTTCTGTGTACGTTTTGGGGACTGTCTTATCTAACTTACTAGGGTTCGGCATTACCTCTTCAAACACAGTAATCGTAAACTACCTTGTTAAGAGCGGCACTCGCATTGAATTTGGAAGCACAGATTTAGCTTGACCTCCAGTGTAACTAAGCTGTTCGTGTAGTTCATTTCACCAAGTATTACAAGGGTGCGTGAAGACGGGACTCAAGGGAAACGGGATTCCGACTGTGGACCACATCTGCACATATCACCAAGTTTTATAGCAACGACATAAGCATAGGCGTATTGCAATCTTGGTGTCCCGTAACTCGAACAATGAATTCGATTTTGTCGGTCAGTTCGTTTGTTCAACACGTGAATATCATGAATACCATGAATATCATGTGCTGCGTGTATTCAAGTACTTGTGGGGATTTCAGAGCGTATAGAGCCCTCTGAAAGCTTTCCCACTAACAGTAGTGTCCGACAATCATATTCAATCTCTTCATTTTTATTTAATCTAAAGATTCATGAGGTGCAGCGAACCCTGGAAGTCCTAAAACCCCTGGTTTTTATAACACTGAGCGAAAATCTTATCGACCTGGATTATGCAGACAAAATTGTTCTCTTTTTTCAAAGGAATGGAAAGCCCAAGCATTACCAGAAAAATTTACTCATATCATCCAGTCCTTCAGTGCTTCACGCCCACAAAAAAGCAGTCACACTGCGGGACATAAAGTCCTTGAATATGCCTCTAACAATCCAAAGGGTGACACCAGGAGTTGTGGAACATTATATGTATCTCGGAAGTTGCATTAACTCTGATGATAGCATGACAGACGAAGTCGATGCAACTACATAAAGGGCCGGGAATGCGTTTATAAATCAGCTCCAATTGTGGTATCAAAATGGCACATCACCGAGTCCCAAAGGACGTGCTATCCGACTATGATGCGAGGTATGATAGTGTACGGCTGCGAGGCTTAGCTACTTTGGGAGGAGGATCTAAAACGCCAACGAGTCTTTGGCCACTATTGTTTCAGAGCTATAGTTGTAATCAGCTACAACCACCGAATTCAGAATATGGTTATAAGAGAACGGATATTTATTGAACAGGGTGACCTCCCACCCCCGTGTGCATGGGTGGAGGCGCTGCTAATCGACGTGGATGATGTTCTTTTCAGCTTCTTCCCAGTGTCTAAATGAAGGTCTGGAGATGTATGCACCCGTAACTGATCGTGGTAGACTGGTACCAAAGCTTCCAAATAAATTGTGGTGGTATGGTAGCGAAGCATCAGTATTTATGACTGATTTGCTGTCAGTGTTTAGTGAGGCAGGAGGCGTTTCACTCAGAGAATCATTAGCAGCAGCAGCAACATCAGTGTTGGCACTGATGCTTCACTGCCGTAAAACGTGAAAGGAGAAAAAGAGTGGGTGAGGGAGGGGACCTGGTGCTGGCCTATGTCAAGCATTCTGAGGTGCCTACACCTCCAACCGCTCAACCAGGCAATCTTGAAAGAAACTGACAACACAAACGCCACTGACATCGATTAGCCGCCATTTCTTGCAACGTCTCCAACCAAGCACGGACGGGGTCATGGGGACCCCATCCTGGAAGGCGTACAACACCAACAACACCCAAACTCTTCGTTATCTCTTTCACGCCTCTCTGCCAAGTCATGTGCTGCCCACCTCGCGGTTTGCACAATCCTGAAGGAAGTGCGGAGAACAGTCGTCTCGGTAGACGGTTTCGGCATGCGTAGCACATGACCGAGCCATCGTTGTCAATGATGATGGATGTTTTCTCGGTTGTGCTGCAGGCACTCAAAGAATGCATCTAAGGCAGCGATCTAAGGTGGTTGGACATTTGCTACGCATACCATGTTACCGTCTGCTGAGACCGTTGTTTCCTATGCCTAACTGGGATGGCAGAAAACTAGAGGTTGACAGAATTTGACGAGGCAGATGGGAATGAACGATTTCGCGAAAAGTCTGGGCGCTGTTGTTGATGTTCACCTTCCAGGACGGGGTCCGTTCTTTTGTTTTGACACCTAACGGTATGCCGGATAACCGATATCATCATTATTATAAACGCCATCGTCATCCACAGCATAATAGTAGTCTATGCTGTCAGTTCCTGCTCTAATTGCCTGACTGCGTGTGAAGGGTGTGGATACCGCAGGCGTTTTTGGTCCATCTCTCTGTATCATTTTCCCTTATATCCATTGTCCGTCCAAATAAAATGACGTGGTTGGACGGCAATGAAGCACCAGTGCTGCTGTCAATGATAAACCCTTGGAGAATCCACATACCTGTGTGCATCCGCGATCGTCATACTAAAATAATGCGCTTTTACTCATTGTCACCGCTTTTATTCCACCTTCAGCTCCTCAATAGGTTTCAGGAGTAGGTACTTTTCAAGACACCGTTCGTAGGCTGCCCTCTCCAGGACGGCAAGGGAGTATTTTTCAACAGTCATCATCATCATCATCATCATCATCATCATCGACAGCATGACATCAGTGTTCAACACCGATGCTTCACTTCAACAGGCGACGATACAATTTAAGTAAACCGGGTTCCACCAGCTTCCGTAGATTAACTCAAAATAAATTCGGAGACCCACATACCATTTGCAACTTCAGATTAATTTTTCATCTAACATTCGAGCTCCTAAATAACAGTATCCCCACACCTAATGCTTTGCACTGCAGTGTCCGCTTCGACGGCATCTCGAAGCCCGTTAGGCTGCCGATTAAGGCCATCATGACAGAATTCTTCCACTAATGCATCCAGTTCCATTTGATTCCTATTCTCCACTCAAAGCACTGACGCACTTGTTACGAGTTCGTCCCCAAGGGATACATGTGCCAAATAATTTTTCTCCTAAGTGAGCGGTCACGCGAAATTCCGCTCGCTACGTTCCCCTCGGTAAGCATTCCTGGGATTTCTTCCTCCGTGAAGGCCTTCTCCCATGGCCACCCAACAATTGGCTGCGTGCCTGAGGAGACTCTATCAGTTAACACTTCTATTGGTACTGCATTGTAAACGATCCACTTGGTCTCGACATGAACCACGCACATGTCTCCAAAACAATTCATAATCAATTCATAGCCGAACGCTTTTCAGTTTTCCCTGTTGAACCACTGGTGCCGCGTCCGACAAAATTGTGCACTTAATCAATTGCTGAAGGTCCCAAATTACAGGTACAAGGCTTACAGTTTGAATTGCTTTTAGACTATTTTCAACTGCCATGAGATAGACGCTACTAGCCATCTTGTAGACCAGAACAGCGAAATAAAAACAGAAACCCACTTGTAGTGTCATCACAACGTAGCTGTAGCGTTCATTTCGACCGCAGCCAAGGAATTTACATACGTGATCCTTGCCTTGTAGTTTGCGTAAGACCGCGACTTCCATCTTCAAAACTTGCTTCGGTTGTCTGGCTGATTCCAGTTTTAATGCAACCTTTTCTTGGCAATTCATTTCCTGAGCCTCGTAAATTTCGCCGAATCCACCACCCCCGATCTTTTTTACAACGCGCCATCTGTCCTTTATGATACTTCCAGGAGAAACCAAATCAGTGTCCGAAGTAGCTGAAGTCATCACACATCGTCGCCTGCTACAACGGAGGCGAAATCGCACTTAGAATGCTCACCCAGGAAGATCATCAGACAAACATCAAACGGAACCAGTTCAACACATACCGAGACCACAAGAAGGGGAAAATTTCGGGACTGACGAGCACAAAACGAGACGGATGGCCAACGACCGACAGTCGTCAAAGATTCAAAGTTTCGCGCTGTCGAAATGTTCAGGTTGTCAGCCAGTAAAACAAAGACAGGTCTCAAAGGTGTTTCGGATTGACACCATGCTGAGAGATACAGGGGTTGTTGCATCACGTCCCCGGGTTATCCGGTAGATGGTTCTCCGCCTTCCGTAAGCAGTTCGCTTCAAAGTCAGGGGTTCACGGATTCACGGATTGATACACAGGATCGAGGCTTTTGCCCAAGATTCCCGGGTCGGTTTTGTTCTTGTCGGTAAGTGGCTGTCGTTCACCTGAAAGGTACAAGTGAAAAAAGGGTGT